GGTGGGAAGAGGAAAGTAGGGAAAAAAAATATTAAATTCCCAAGCCAGGGTGCAACAAAGTCCCTTGTGATACTGACTGCAGCAGGGAAAAGGAGAGCTACTGAAGGAGCCACATCAAAACATGCTGAATTCCTGTTACCCTCAAGATAATGCCTGCATGAAAACTCTTTTGTTTTGGCATAATTCCCTGTGCAAGGCACGCCTTCAGAAAGCAGGGCTTCCAGAAATAATATCCCAGGACAGGGAGCACTGAGGAGCCAGGGCAGTAACCTTCACCCAGGCCTTTCAATTCAGTTTTGTGTGAATTACAGCAAATTGCAGTGTGTGCTTGTGCTGGAAGCAGAGCAGTTGAAACGCTGCCATTTCCCCACCAAAGCAGCTCTTTGGGAGTTGATTGGTGTTCCCCAGGAACTGAAACACAGCACAGCATTGGAAATGACAGGACAGCACCATGCAATTTCACTAAGAACGATGCACAGGATGTTATAGGGATAATATTTTTCTGAGTTTCAAGACTGAAGTTAGAGAAGCTCTTTACAATTTGCATGTGAGATGCTGCTCCACTCTAGTGGCAGATGCTCCCCGGAGCCCAGGCTAATAAGCAATAATTGAGAATGCTCCTCCAGGCTCCCTGCCCAGGGTCCACTGACCCACTGCAGCACCAGGCTGTGGCTGCTCATCCCCAGAGCTGCGAATGGAGCGGCTCGGGACATTCCAGGGAACGGCACCAACCTGGGTTTGGAGTTTCACCCCTGGAAAACCACCACATCACAACTTACACTACGAAAACATCCAAACAAGCGAAATGAACAAACTTTAAATAATAGCTCATTTCAATTATTTTCATAACGTTTGTTTTCCTTTTTTTTCCCCTTTTGCTTTTGTTAGATCACACTTAATATGATTCCACAACACCAATGCTGGGGATGAAATTGAAAGCTATATTCTTCTAAATGTGTTCCCAACATTCCATTTTTTACATAGCTGCCAGGGGCTATTCTGCATTCCCACAACGGCTACAAATGTAACATATTGTTTTGCAATAAAAATTAGCTATAAAAGTGTGAAAACGCCAGAGATCCAAATGTGAGAAACAAGAGAAGGGGGTACGGCTTTCGCACACTTTTAGTGGACATTTTATTTATTTTTAAAATGGAGTAGACATATTTTAGACATATTTATAGCTACTGTATTTCAATTATCTCTAATTTCACACATTTTATGCAGATTCTAGGCATTTTAATTGCAAATGAGAAGGGAACTTATTTTTAAAAGCGGAGCAACACAACATTTCAGATCTCAATTTTAATTCCAAATTTATCCACATCACTGTTAAAAACTTTTAAAACCTCATTTACACTGCGACTTAAAATTAGGTGTGATTTCAAACAAAAACAAAAGACCTCCATACCTATGAGTTAGAGCGCTGAAACCTCTCTCACACATTTTTACATCTTTTCATTCTGAATTAAAAATTTTAGGTAGGGAAGTTTGGGAAGCTGAAATGACATTATTAATCGGTGACACATTATTTCAACAAGAGTCAGTAATTTAATAGTATTGTCCATAACTGATGAAAATTAATACATTACCCACCCTATTTTCTCTTGCTGTCTCTGTGCTTCCAATAACCCAGGCATGGGTTATTAGCTCAATCCCTGCTCAGCCGTCACTCAATGGGAAATTCTTCCAAGGGGATAAAGCACAGCTCAGCCTTTGGCTGGATAAAAATTCCCACTGTACACTAAAAGCATTAGTGACAAATGCCACTCTTTTCCAAGCGGTATTCCCGGTAGCTTACTCCTATGGAATGCTAATAAGCTAAATAAAATGTTTGTGACAAATTCCAAGCCACCTGAACCTGTGCTGGTCTGAAGCAGGGACAGTTTTCCAAAGGAATCTAGAGCTCCAAATTAACCTAACAGGTTTAAAACCACACATATGCCTATGGAGCCTTCTAAGCTGAGAATCCACTGCTCAACTTCATACTAGCCAATGGAATAGATCTTTAGAAGTTCCAACTACTTACTGAAAGGCATGAAAAAATTTTATTATAAATGGAAATGTACTGTCTGGAGCATGCAGAGTTTTTCTCTGCTTTCTTTCTATTTGGTAATTTATTTAAATGCATTCAAAAATGCATTCAGAAAATGAGACATGGCACTTTGGTTAAGACATCTGTATTTCAAACCAACATCTTCAGAACTGTGAGCAGCTCTGTTAATAGTCTTTTTATTTGATTAGGGTAATCTGCTGCTGTGCTGTGTTAATCTTTATCCACTACCTTTTAACCAATCAATATTTTAGGGTTATAGATTTGGAAGGTAGGCGATAATTTTGTAGATAAACTCTCTAGGCACTGCTGACATGCTATGGTTGCATATTTAATATATTTTCTGAGGATTCACAACTTCAGCAGTGTAAGAATCTGCCCAGGGGAAAAAAAAAAAAAAAAAGGAAAAAAAGAAAAAAAAATGTTAAACCTTAAATTTTCAAAGCTGTATGCGGGGACTTGGCCACCTGCCTCCTATTAATGTCAATGAAAATTTAGAGGTAAGAAAAGCAATGTCGTTTCCCTCAGATCATTTCTGCTTTGAAAGGAACCAGAGAACAAGAGAGAGGAAATTAAAAGCAACTTCGTACCACAGGACGACACCAGCAAGGCCTGGTGGTGAGGCAGGACCAGAACAGAGGCAAAACATTTGTTCACTAAATGAGTGAGCATCTCCACACATATCAAAAGAGCCAGGTATGAAAAGTTCAGAAGGAAAAAAATTAGATTTTCCGGCTTTAAAATGTCAATAATATATATATTTTTTAATTTTGCTCAGCTGAAATTATCTGTTGCTTACGATATTAATTTTGCTGCAGATAAAATTAGTTGTCAGACCTCTGTTTATGGCCTAATTACCTTTTCTAAGGGAAAAAAGGGCAGGAGAAAGAAAAGAAAGAACAATAAAATGAAGTATCTACTTTCCAGCAAGAGGGATTCCTAGTGATGTGTTACCTGCGTGGACTTCACTAGAGCCATGTACATGTTTCATACACATAAAATCAGATTTACTTGGGCTGTTTTGCCCATCTGGGCAGGGCCAGCTTCTGCCTGCCCTCATTTCCATTCCTGGGGTCAGGCAGGACAGGCCAAATCACCCTCAGTTATTTCTAAAGAACTGGGAATCTTGCAGTGATTTGAGATCCTTCTAATAAGAAAACAAGTCAGGAAACCTGAGGGCAATGGCTTGAAAAAAAGGCACTGTAAATTACTAATTTCTTCTGAAAATATTTCTCCACTTTGCTTCCAGCTTTGGAAAAGGTAAATGGATTTTTCATTGGTTAGAAGAGGGTGCCAGGAATGTCACTGCCAAGCTTTGTAAAGAAGACTTGTAGAGACTAAATCTTGTGTTACAGATGTCAGAACCAGCACATTTTGGTCATATCTCAGCCCGATTCTTCAGCAAGGAGCAGAATGACAAATACTGAATATTTCTTAATAGCTCTTCACATTATATGAAGCTCAAAATTGAAATAAATTTGTACAGCATTCTGTTAATCAAGTTGGAGCCACAATGCCACCTAAATTGCAGCTCTACCTGGCACAGCTTGGGCACGGCACAGACAGAAGGGGAGCGAGCCTGACCTCAGAGAGAGGCTGCCCTTTGAAGTGTTCTGAGCAGCACTGCCATGAGATCTGCCCGGCTGCATTTTGGAATATATCTGACAAACAAAAAAATTTGTATCTGTGTTCATTTCACAAGATATAAATGTCTCTTTTGTGGTAGGAGAAATCCTGCTCCCGGGAAGTGATCCTAATCTAATCTGACACGTGGTATTTGTAACCCTACTTTAGTGTCCCAGCCTATTTACAGTGTTTACATAAAACCCCCCGAAATCTCCACATTCCCTGAAAAGTTAATCCAGTACAAATATTGACTGGCTGTCAATTGAACATTATTGACTTGCTCCAGGACTGTGCTTTATTGCCTTAACTGATGAAACTTGTTTTCTTCACTAAATTTAATTTCTTTTGGGCCTCCTTCAGATGAAATGCCATTTATGAGACTGCTCCTCCTCCTCCTCCTCCTCCCACAGCAATGGGGCTGTCTCTTCCACTGAGCTGGAGTGGTGGGACAGCCTCAAAGCTTTGCAGAAGGAAGGCAACAAACCCACTCTGTATTCTACAAAGAAGACAAGGCCCAACGCCTGTCCTAGCTCCTATAAATATTTTGTCCACACCAGCTCCAACACATTTTCCTCCTTTGCTTATACAGAGAAGTGTCTCCAGCAAGGCTGGAAAGGGGCTGTGAACCCTTTAGTGAGGTCTGTGATAAGCAAACTGATTACCAGGAGCTGAAATTCCCACTCTGGCAGTCTATAACTTTCACTGGGAGGTGGTGGTGGTTTTTTTTTTTAAGGAATTCTAAAATTCTAAAAGCTGAAAACCTTGGCTGTCTTGCATCTCTTTATCAGGAATAATACAAATCAGCTTGTCCAGGAGCCAAAGTTCATGAAACACACATACTCATCATGTTTTGAACACCCAAGAAAACATTATTTATCATTTCATTTTTTTAAAATCTGTGGTCTCCAGATACAGCAAAACAGAAACCAAAAATAGCAACTTTCACAACATTCATTCCCTGATTCTGCAACAAATTCCATCAACCATTCTAAGTTCTGATCCCCATGTCAAGTGAGACTGACAATAAATCTTAGTAAGGATTTGATATCGTTAAGCTGCAAAACCCGAAAATCCATTACAAAAGATTTATCCGAACGTATAAAAAATGAACCCAAAACATTTCAGTCAGCGCGGGGAAGGACAAAAGGGTGCAATGGCAGCCAGGGGACGAAGGGTAGATCCCAAATGACCAAAGCCTGTTACAAAGCACATATTTCTCTCTGATCTCAAAGCAACATTTAGGAAGGGATTTGTCCAAAAATGCAGTTACCACAGATATGGGGGTTTGTTTGTGAAGGAATGTACCAGAGCAGGCACTTACAGTTTGCAGAGCTCCATCTGCTCCTCCACACGGGGCCACTCCTTGGGCCCTGCTCAGCTCCGGGGCAGGATTTGGTGCCATGATCTGCTCTTTCCTCTGTTATCAGCTGCCTGGAGACAGGGGCAAGGAGAGGAAAAAACAGGGAGGTGTCACATTGCTACACCATCATTTGATATTCTTTGTGACTGTTTATGTCTGGCTCAGGTGGGGAGACAGTCCAGTTCTTTAATCCAACATTTTCAGATTATCCCTTTAGCAACTGAACGAAGTCATGACAGTTTTGCTCTCACTTTGCCAACCATATGAACAAGTTTATTTCTGCCTAATTTGTTTTTTAAATTTTACTTTAGCCCATACAATTCATTTTTTTTACAAGACTGCCCTTCTTTTTACATGAAAGGCTTCTTCTGAACATTTGACAAATGGAAGAATCCACCCTATAACACCAGCTATGCCAAGAATGCACCTGCACTCTGTGAAAATACGTTGGCTGTCTTGAATGAGGTTAAATGTTAACATTTTCACTAGTCTATAAGTCGTGGCATAAAAATAAAAAACAAACAAGAAACCCTGGCCATCACAAATGTTACTCTTTTTTTAAACTAAATGCGGCCGATGGGTATAAAGATTTTTTTTTTAATTTTTCTTTTATATTTCTAATCCTGCAAATGAATTCAAAGTCTCTAAGCTAGTTTAGTAAAGAGCCTCCATGCACAGAATTATAGCAGTCAGAAAGCCCCTGCAATCAAGGCTACAGGGGACCCAGATGTATTTAAACCAATCACAATAACACCATTAGCATGCGGTGCAAAAAGTGCCAAAACAAGACAAAAACACTGACAGTCCATATGTTTTAAAGCTTGGGTTTTGCTGTTGCTCCAAATCCTTCCCTCTCTACATACCTGTACATAATAATAATCATAATCACCATCATCATAAAAAATAAGCCCTCAAGATCAAATAGTCAGTGATATCTTAAGAGAAAAGAAGACGACAGGCTTAGGAAACCAAATCCTTGTAATAAATAATATATGATGAGTTAAGGAGATGAACTGACAAAGTGGTGCACCTCTAATCTCTCCCCTGCAAGAGAGGGAAGAGCTGAATCACTCACACATTTTTCTTTGAGCATGGTCATGGTTTGCTCCTCCACTCCAGCTTCTCAACAAATATCATGCTCTACTCATTTTCCAACCTAAGCTACACGTCAGCAGCAGAGCCAGATTTCACCTGCAATTTTACAGTGTAAGAATAAAATTTGGGAACATTCTCTTATTAATATATAATTATTTCAGGGCAGGTTTGACTTGGAGATGAGAGTCAAGCCACTGAAGTCCTGCTGGACACCAAGGGCCACCTTGCTCAGGATTTCCAGTTATCCTTTATTCCAAACTTGAAATGACACCACCACCTAAACAGCAATTTTAAATAACAAACTACACCAGGCACAAAAAAAAAAAATATCCTGCAGCATGGCCAAGATTCCAGGCACATAAAGAAAATTAACTGGCCCATATTTCTGAGCAATAAAATCAATGTCACCTTTTTATACCTTCAGCCCCCTTGTCTAATGTCCCTCAGCAGATTCCTGCCAGTGCTGTGCAGCTATTCCAGGCAAGGCAGACCTAAAAGCCTGTGAGCAAGGACTTCCCACCTTCCACCAGTCCCAGCCTTTTCTACTAAACACATCCCTTCAGTTTTTCCTCTATCAGCTTCGCCACCTGGGAAAAAAGCATCACTAAACTTTCAGAACCTAAAAGCACAGGAGTGCACCAGCTTTTCTAAAAAATATACACCTTCTAAGCAATAATTGTGCGTGGCACATCTCACAAGAATTTGTTTCGTTAGTCCAAGAAAGAATTTCAATGTTAAAGATGTGAGAAAAAAAGAAATAAAGGAAGACAAAAACAGTGTTTAGTCAGTGATAAAGCAGTACATTTCAAATTCCAAATGAATTACTTTTTACTTCATTTTGACTTTATTATTATTTTTTATTTATTTTATAATTGCAGAGATTTTTCAACTACGCAACAATCCCCAGAAGCAACTGTGCCCACAATTATGTCTAAATGGAGCTGTTACTGGTCAGCAGCTCAGAGGACCACACTGACACAGCTGAGACTCATAATCCAAGTCAAACACAAGTAGGAGCACTAAGAAAGTGTAAGAAGAGTATTTAGGGATTAAGAGAATTCTAGAAAAAAGCCGCATCAGTGGCAAATAAAAGTAATTGGTTTTCCAAGTTTGACTCTTCTTCAATGGTGTTAGGGACAACCCCAAAGAGAACTGAGAAATGAGACTATATTTTGCAAAACATTTGCTTGCAGCCCAGTACTTTTGCATTAAAATCAACTCACATCCCAAATCCCTTTTCTCCTACACCACATCCCACACTCATGTTTACCTTTTCTCACTGCTGCTACATATTTTTACCCTGCTGAAGTCTTTTATTTTCTCACCACAATGAGAGTGGGTGCCAAAACTGTGGCTGGTTTGGCATTCCCAGTGCAGAGCAGTGGGAAAAGGAATCATCAGTGCAGTGACTGACAGCTATGGCTGCTGGCAAAGGCAACAACTGCAGTTGGATTTTAAAATGATTAAAAAAAAAAAGGAAAAAAAAAAGGCAGGAGAGGAAAAGGGGGAAGACACCATTTTTACAGCCCATCTATTTGAAAGATAATTGCTGTAATTTTGTCTCTCCTCAATCTTCCCACTAGGCAAGCGCTACCAAGGAAGGCAAATTTCTAGTTCTTAAAAGTGCTATAATTCACACTTTTCTAGAAGAAGTTTGATTAGTTTGAAATCTACACTTGGCCATTACAAAATTCTAGGACAAGAACTAAAAAAATTTTTTAAAGAGTTAAAGAAAGAGAAACAGAAAGACAGACCAAAAAACCCCAAGAACCCCAAAGAAAATAACTCAAACCCTATTCCCACTGTGGGAGAAAAGAAAAAAAAAATTCACTTTGTCTGGCACAGTGTTTTCATGGTTTTTTTTAAATTGCTCCGTATTTTCACAGCTTCAGATATTTCTGAAATATGGAATTTGCATTTTCTAAGTGGGGAACACTGCCAAAGTTGTTAATCCCAGGCAGATGTAAAGTTGCACCACTATATTGTGATGTGGCTCCTTAAAAACAACGTAAAAACATAAAAAACCATTAAAAACCCACAAAAAACCAACCACGCAACAACCACCACAAATATCCACTAACCCATATGGTCAATAATTGCTGTTTAATAGTCCTCCTATTACAAACCTAAAAAGCAGCAGCCAGAATTACCAGTAGAGTATTAATAAACAGGAATGAGTTAATAGCGCATAAAGACCTTCTAGTGGAACAGTGGGGGAGTTGAATATTCTTTTCTTAAGTCAGCTGTAAGTAATTACTACATGGTGTGCTTCTGACTATTACCATAACAGAGCAATTGGACGTGAAGAATGGATAATAGTATGGACATGGAGGTATTTTTAGAATATCAGCAGTGAGGCAGGTAAATGCCCTACCCGGGCACAAACCTCTAAATATGTTGAAATAACTTTTCCTAATGACACCTAGCCCAGGCAGATTTCTGAAAAGATCAATCTAATAAATTATTAAAGTAACTTTATAAAGACATGGCTGTGATATGTAAATAAGGGAAGCAGCAAAAAAATCCCAGCCGTTCAGCAGGCAGGCAGCACTGCAGTAAGTGCATAATCACAGGTTTCTGTGTTTCCTTTAGAGCAGTGCCTTCCTCTGTCTGAACAGGGACTGTGCTCCACTCGCCTCCATTGGCTGCTCTGGTAAAAACTCCTACATTCCGTCACGAAGGGGAACTGTGAGTGCAGGAGTTGTGGGGTTTGGACAGCTGAGGTCATCCTCAGTGATTTAATGATGCATCCCATTTGTTTTAAGATATCATTGAGGAAGCGTTCAGGGAGACACAGCTCCGTGTTTCTGGGACCATCCAGCAGCAAGTGCAGGAGGAGATTTTGTCCATCCACACAACAGATGCTTCCATATAAAACCAGGCTGAGCCTTAATTCAGAGAATAGTAATTTTATAAATGCACTGAAACATAATTTAAGGAGTATTTTTAATTTTTCAGGTCTTTCTCCTGCTATGTTGCTACACAGGGCAGATGTTGATTTTTCAATTTGTAGGTTTGTTAAGTATCATGGAATATTTTGGTTCTCAATCAAGAATATTCTTCCCAAGTGGTTGCAAAGTCCCATGCCTGAAAATAAATGCACGTCCTTTTTGTTCCTCAGCAGCACGTGTTCTGCATTCAATAGACACAGAAAAATAAAACTGATAATGTGATGCTATTTGTTGAACCAATGTGTGCATTTTTAGACTTCGGCTCTCAGAATGCAATGTATTTCCAGGTTATTGTCTACAAACACAGTCTATATAAGGCAAGAAGCTGTTTCATTCACAGAGTGGCATCCCAACAGTTCTACTCAGAGAATTCTGCACTGTGATGTCCTTGGTGTTGTGTCCATCCACTGAGGTGCCCCTGGCATGGTCAGCTCCTGATCACCTTATCAAAGCAACAGACCCTGCACCGGTAACATTAATGATGAACACTCTGTGCATACACAAGGAATTTTAGGAAGAGGTAATGTTTCTTATTTGCATGCATACAAACAGATGGAGTAAAATAATTTTGTGTCCCATAAAGACAGCAGAGATTGAGCTGTTGAGCTCATCCCAGTATTTTCTCTGTTCAACAGCAGTTTCTGACTAATCTGCTGCAATGGCCTTGGTATCAGTCCTGGATTTCTTTGTATCAGAGCTACAGAAATCACATTGTGCCACATCCAGCTCTGCATAAAGTTGCTGACTTGAGGGAATTTCATCAAGATGGGTTTGGCCCTTTGCAGTCTTCTGCCCCATTAAATCTGAAGATGATATGTTGTTCTTAGTCACTCCACTGTTATCATAATGGAGAGATGATGTTATAATGCAGGTCAAACAAACAGCTAATTGTTCTTGGGCATGGCTTGAGCAGAAACAGAATGGAGAGGCTGGAGACATTAATAACAGTACTTGGTGCAATTATAATAGATAGCTTCTATCAGAGGATTTAAAATCACTATGTGAGCCTTGCAAGCACATTGCTA